TCGATCGTGGCGGCGAGGCTCCTGTCGATCGGACGGCGAGGGTCCTGTCGATCGTGGCGGTGAGGCTCCTGTCGATCGGGCGGCGAGGCCTCCTGTCGGTCGTGGCGGCGAGACTCCTGTCGATCGTGGCGGCGAGGCTCCTGTCGATCGGGCGGCGAGACTCCTGTCGATCGTGGCGGTGAGGCTCCTGTCGATCGGGCGGCGAGGCTCTGTCGATCGGGCGGGGGAGGCTCCTGAGGTTCAGGAAACATGCGTGCGAGGGAAGTATGTGGCGTTTCGGCCGAGACCCGTAGCTCGGCCGGCGACTACCTTGTCCGTCACTGGGCGCGCCGTGTGTGGCTCCTTCGGGGCGGGGTCACGGCCGGCGGGGCGCCGTGAGCCGACCGTTGCGTGGCTGACCGGGGCGCCCCCGGTAGTGCAGGTCGTGCCCAGGGACTGGCCGAGGCGTACCTGCCGGTCCGGCCCGAGACTCGCCGCCGGCTGAGCGATGGGCCTGTCAGGGGGTTCCCGTGGGAAGGGAGAGCGGTCGGTGTCTCCAGTGTGCCCCGGTGCACGGTCTGAGGCCGATGAAACCAGTAGTGGGACGGACCCGTCAGCTCTGTTGCGCTTTCCAAGCTCAGATGGCGGCCAGCGTCGTATGGTTGGTGATGTTATGTGAGCGATGCTGGTGGCTATTTCAAGAGCTCGAACATACTGGAGAAGACTTTCCTAGCCGATTCAACGCGGTGATCAAAGGAAAGACCGCGGCTTTATTTTGATCGTACAGCACTGGGAGAAGCCGAATCATCCAATATGACAATTTTCACCAAACAGTGATATTGCCCACCGTTGGCCCATCATTACACTGTAATTGTCAGTGCCAATGTGACCACACTGGTGTAATCGCCGCCGAGCCAGGTGAAATATGACGGCGGCAGCCGGCCGGCCGGCCACGGCGGCGGCGTGCACCGTTGTCGGCCGGCGGCGGCCCGCCCCCGCTCCGGCAGCTGCCGGGCGCCGGCGCCGCCGCCGCCGCCGCCGTCGTCCCGTAACGGTGCGCCTGCCACGGCCGGCGGCCGCCGTGACCGCCGGTCAGCCGCCGCCGCTCCACGTGTCCTGCCGGCCGGCCGGGCGGGCCGTGCTGCGCCGAGTCCGACCGACGCCGGGGCTGGACCTGGTCGAAGGCAGGCCTGGCAGTCGCAGGACCCGGCCACAGGACGTCCCGCCTGGGACCGGGTCAGTGTATGCAGCGGGCCGGCGGTCCTGGCGTCTGAGCACGTCTCCGCCATGGGTGCAAGTCCAGGTCAGCGCATGTAGGGCAGGCCTCATGCATGCAGTGCATGTATGAAATACAGGTCGCCGCACGAACCTGGCATGACGGAGCGTCTGGTGCTGACCGCGGCCTCCGAGCGTCCATGACCGGTCACCCGGGCCGGCCCGTCGGCCGCTCGCTGGTCGGGGCCGTGGTCGCGCAGGTAGCTAGCAGTTGGCGTTTTGATGTGGCGGTTTTCCTACCGCCGACGCCGTGGGACCGGAGCTAAATCCGGTGCAGACTCGGGCCGAACGCTCAGACCGGCGGTCACCGTCGTGCAGCCGCGGAATTTCCGCTGTGGGCCGCACGACAGGCGACAGGGCCGGGCCGGCCGTCTACGGCGTCCGAGCAAACGGCTGCACCCGATCGCCGTGTGTCACAGTGACTCTGCGGTTCGCACGGGATTACTCGGCGGGCACGTCTGCAACTCCGGTCAGCACGTGGTGGGCTCATTGATCAGTTACGCAGCGGGCGCCAGTGTGTCCGCCTGTCGAGGCCGCGCCGTTGTGTGTGACGTGGACTGCCGGCCGGCGGGCCGACCGCCGGCGCCAGCGGGCCGGCCGCCGGCAGATGGTGTGGCCCCGGGCCGCTCAGCCGGCGCGCCTGTTCAGGGGCTACGCCCGGCGCCGTGGGCGGACCGGCCCCGCTGGACGGCGACTCCGCCCGCCGCGCCGACAAGGCTGCGGTCTGACCCAGAACCGCTCGCCGCCGGTCGTGCTCCGCCCCGCTGGACAGCCGGCGTCGGCGCTGGGCCAGCCGGGCTCCCGGCCGACGCCGCTCGTCGAAGACGTCGCGTCGGCGCCGCCTCCCGGCCGTCCGTCCTCTAATTGGACGGATGATTGGCGCGCCGGTCGATGGGCGAGCGGAGCGGCCGGCGTGGCGTGGCCCGGCCGTGCACGCCGGCCGGGCGCCCCTCGCCTGACCCGGCCACCGCTGCCCGCCCATCGACCGGCCGTGCATGCACAAACATGGTCCCGACCACGGGGTACGGCGCGCCTTTGTTCCCATCCCCGGCCGACCGAACCCGGCTTCGTGACACGAGATCGGGGCGGCCGTCGGTGGTTCTGCACTGTCGCGATGGGACAGATGCGTGCTGTGATGGTTGTTCCTGTGTTGTCCACCACCATCCACCAGCGCAGACGATTTGACGTCGAATGTCCGCCGATTCCCGCGGGGACGTCGGAACTCTCGGCGGGCAGAGATGCGTCTGCTGCCATGGAGACGCCGTGGCCGGTGCGCCGGTGGCCGAGCCGGCGACGGTGGCGCCTGCGTGCCCGCCGGGAGTGGTCGGGGCCCGCGCGGAATGCGATGTGGCCGATTGTCATGATCCGCCCCCGACGCGCCGGGCCTCTGCAGGCCTTACTCGGCTATCGGACCATCTGGGTGCGTGACGGCAGAGGCCGCCGGGTCCGGGAGCGGGACCCGGCGCCCGGGCCGCCGCCGGCCCAGGCGTCGGCCGCCGCTCCGACCGTCGGCAGGTCTGGCGCCGGCGGCGGCGGGCCGCGCCAGGTGCGTCGGCCGCTGCTCCGACCGTCGGCAGGTCTGGCGCCGGCGGCGGCGCGCCGCGCCAGGTACGTCGGCCGCGAGCGCGGCCGTCTCGTCGCGGCCGACCGGCAGGGGTGGCCGCCGCCGCCGCCGCCGCCCCGCCGCCCGCCGCGTATTGATCAGCTGTGCGTGGGGAGGAGGGGGGGGGGGGGGGGGGAGGGGGTTCGAACGGGCGCGTCTGCTGAACTGAATCAGCAGCGGCTCAGCGCGTGGCCCGGACGTCGGTCGGCTCGGGACAAGGCCGGCGACTGTTGACCGGCGGGCGGTGCCGGTCGGAGCCGGTGGCGGCCGCTGCTAATTGACGGGTGACAGGCGATCACGGGCCCAGGCGCGTGTGGCGCGCGCGACGCCCACTCGCTGTCGTTTTTAACTGGGATTTATTTCCAGTCGTAAGTGAGGGATCGAACAAGGGAGTTGACGCGAGTGACAGTGACAGAAGCAGCCGTCTGTCCTTGTTGTGCTTCAGCCTTTACGTCAGAATCGTTTGTCATCCCGGCTGCCTTGGAGAATACCGGAAATGACGGGCCCGTTTCTCCGGTCTCGGCGGTGTCCAGAGGTCGTGACCTGAAGGACGAGCGGCGGCCTCGGTGCCGTCAGGTGCCCACTGTCTCCAGCCGGTATCGACCGCGCCACGAACAGCTGGTGGGCTGCACTCTTTCGTCAGCGACGGACGCGGCGTCCGGAGCGGGCGATCCGGCCTGCAGGTGCTCAGGCTCGAGGGCTGCACCGAGCCAAACAGTGCACGGACGGCTGTGTTGTTCGTGAGTGCAGCCTGCTGCTGCATTGGCATCGAACACTTCCTGGTGCAGATGCATATGATCAAAGCCCGCCTGTCACGAGGCGCATTGGCTTCAAAACAGTTGTTATGTAAGATGTCGGTCGAGTTCAAACGCGGACACCGGCGCGGTGGCCGTGTGTGTCGGTGCTGCCCATCCGAGCCAGCTGCGCGCCTCTGTGCGCCGATTCAAGCCCCGCTTCGTCCGACTACAGATCCGTTAGCGGACGTGGCGGCTTGCGGGCACATCGGCAGGTCGCCGATGTCGCCGCATTGCCGCATGGTGCTCACAGGACAGCCTGCGTGAAGGGCGACAGCACTGCGCAACCGGGCGCTCGCAGGCTCTCCGAAGGTGCCGACCAGAGATGAAACTGGCGTGGCGGTGTGTGAACCCTACGAGCCGGAAACAATTGCGAGTGAGAGGCGGCGGAAAGGCGCCGTCCAGCTGCCGCGCGCCACGGCAGCTGGGGGGCGCCGCCGCCACGCTCTTAGGCTGCCGGTCCGGAAGGCAGTCATGGGTCGTGGGCGCCTCTCCCAGCGCGGATGTCGCGCCGTGCTGACTGTCCAACTCTGCGGACCGGCGCGGCGTGAGCGGCAAACGACGCGTCCGGCTGCGTGCGAACCGCGCCGGTGGCGGCTCGGCCCCGGTCCCTCGGTGCGGTGCCGGCCGACAGTTGTGGTCCTGTCCCGCCTGCAGCCGGGGCGCCGTCGCGGGGCCCAGCCGCGCTGGGCGGGCTGGTACGAGGTCGCGCGCGCGCCCCCGTCCTAACTCGCGCTGTACCGCCCCTCGCGCTGAAGGCGCATTCCCCTGGGGTGGCGTGAGCGAGGCGGGAGCCGCTCTGGGCCGTGCTCTGCCGTCGGTGGCGGTGACGGCGACCTCCGTGATCGGGCTGGGAGTCTCGGCGCGCCAGGTGTGCGCGGCGGCCACGGCTCGGATGCGTCATGCAGTCAGGAGAGGGCGTTGCGCAAGCCTGGCGCGGCAGAAGTCAAGAGGCCCCCGTGCGCGCCGTCAGCAGCGCACCTGTTCTTTGTTGTCGTAGAAAGGTCGTCCGGTGCCGGTGGGGTTTGATCTTGTGTGCTGATTCGCATGCAAAAAACGCCGATCTGATATGGTGTCGTTAACCGACAATGGCGTAGTCGCGTGAAGCACCACTTTGTAAAGGAGCACTTAAGCCGAGAGCATTTACCTCTAGCACTTAAACTTGCCAGCGTAACATTAGCAGAGGAACTGCGCAGCGGTAGCGTGACAAAGTCTGCTTTTCCTCCTTGTCGACCGTTGCCTGTCGGCTCCCAGCCCTGTAACCGTTGTGCGGTGCGCCGGCCGAGCCGCGCCGCGCCGCGCGCCGGTGGCGCTACCTGCGGCACCTCACTGCTGCCATCTGTCGCCAGAGCCTGAGCGGCCACACGACGGCCGTCGAGTGCGTGCGGTTTGGGCACACGGAGGAGCTGGTGTGCGCCGGCTCCAGCTCGGGCGCCATCAAGATCTGGGATCTGGAGGCGGCCCGGCTAGTGCGCACGCTCACCGGCCACAAGAGCAACATCCGCTGCATCGACTTCCACCCGTACGGCGACTTCCTGGCCTCGGGCAGCTTCGACACCAACATCAAGGTGGGTGCGGCGACGTCCGGCGGAGAGCCGCCGGCCGGGCTCGCAGCTCGGAAACTCGTCGCCGTGGGCGTGGATGTGCAGTTGGCGATGCGCAGAACACCTCTGGGGGGGGGGGGAGGGGGGTCGTGCTGCCGGTTTATCCGGCGTTGGGCAGTGTAGCACGCGTCCGGTGCGATGTCAAACGGCTTTAGCTGTGATCGGCACAATTGGTGGCAGTCATCGGCCATGCGGCTGTATTGAGCCAGGCTTTATACGCGCCGCCGATGTGCTGTGTGATCAACCGCGGCAGTCAGACGTGCCGAGGCGCCATGCGCTATTCAATTCTAGCTGCTTCCATTCAGTTGAAGCTCAATTGAAGTTCAAAGGAGGGCCTTTGCGTCCAATTTGATGTCCCCCGGCTTGATAGTCCTATGATTGGCTTGTGTCATCGCAGCCTGTTCGGCGGCGTGGCCGTCGCCGTCCGGTCGCCGCAGCACGGCTGTTGTTGGCTGTTGACTGTTGACACGACTGTTGACTGTTGTGCCGCCGGGTCCGCTTAGTCGCACTCCTGGTGACCCGCCGTATGTCGCCTGAGGCGTTCCGGCGTGCCGACGGCGCCGGGCAGCGCTGCTGACTCGGGCGCGTCCAGGGCGCTGTGAGGGAGGCGCCACGGGCGGCGATCGAGCGCAGGCGGTGGCGGTTGGGCCGCGTCGAAGGCCGGTGGTGCCCCCTTCCTGTGGGGTGACGAGTGCACCTGTGCGGTGTGGCCACGCCACAGGTGTCTCCTTTCCCAGACAGGGCTCGGCTTATCTTGGAGACGTGGGTCGCCTGTTTGTACTTTTGTGCTATATGGACTTCGTCCGTGAGCCATGTCGCGTGATGTTCGATCACGCATGTGCCTTGTCGCTCTACCACATGTGGTCTCCCCTCCCGCTCCACCACATGGTCCGTTCCCGTGATTCAGCTGCCTCAAGTCTGGAGCTGGCTACGTTTCATCTCAGCTGATCGGCCTGTTCCAGTGGCGTGACGTCACTTTCCTCCATTTCAGCTGTGGGACATCCGAAGGAAGGGCTGCATCTTTACGTACAAGGGCCACAGCCAGATGGTGAACAGCCTGAAGTTCTCGCCGGACGGCCAGTGGATCGCGTCGGCCGGCGAGGACGGCGGTGTCAAGGTCGGTCACGGACGCCCGCTCGCCGGCGGCGCCGCGTGGGGGCGGGGCCGGCCCACTCAGCGGGGTCGGCAGCGGCCGGCGCCGGGCCGGGGCTGATGTCAGCCGCGTGGGCGCCGGCCGTGTTTGCCATGCTCTCGGCCGGTCGCCGCCGTCCACAGAGGCCGCCCTCGGGGTGACCGGGATGTGGGCGGTGCCACTCGCCGGTCGGAGGAGGCTCGCGGCCGGCTCTGCAGCCGCCGAGTGCTACCCTCCGCCCCTACCCCCACTCCCTCCCGCCGTCTATGAGTGGGCGGTGCCACTCGCCGGTCGGAGGAGGCTCGCGGCCGGCTCTGCAGCCGCCGAGTGTCCCCCCCCCCCCCCCCTCCCGCCGTCTGTGAGTGGTCGGGCAGCGATGCGATCCAGCAGCGAGTGGTGCGCTTGTGTGGGCCTCGGTGTCAGGAAACGCAGTCCAGACGCGGAGGCACACGCATTTTGTTCGTCCAGAGCCAGGGGCTTAGTTGCAGTTTCTGACGTGGGACTGGAGGGCCAACCGTTTGGTGGGGAGGGGAGGCGTCTGAGGTATTCGTGACATGCTCTGTTGACAGTCCTCCAACATAATCGCCTGAAGTAGCCAGGGCACCACCTTGGCGTGCGTCGGCTGCCATTCTTGCCACTCCCATTATTGGGAGTGTATGTGCTTGGCATGCAAGCCGGGGATCACACCTGGTGCGAGCTCAGCATGCGAGCCGGGGTCGCCGCCGTCACACCGGGCGGGCCAGTGGCCTGGGGTGTTTGGTATGCTACCCATGCAAGGTTGCGGCGCGCCCGTGCGAGGTTCGGATGTCTCCCGCCCGCCCGCTGCGGAGATGTGCCTTGCGATCGACGCTTGAGACTGGATCGCCAGGTGGTTTGAAACTAATGCGGCCAATGTGTAGGCCACAGAATTGTTGACATCTACAGTCGTGTTTAGATGTATAGCGCTCAAACTCCTTGGCTTGAGCGTTGTGACGTTTTTGTTGAGTGTAATTAACGACCGGATATTGAAATATTGATGTCGTCACGTGGCTCGGACGTGTCACGTGGTGAAGAAGGACAACACCGACGATCACCGTGGGTGTTGCCTTTGGTCGCTACGTTGATGCCGTCAACACGGCCACCAACCGCCGCTGCCGGTTGGTGATTGGTTAGATGAATGTGACCCGCGGTACGACAGAGCGGGTTCGAATTGGTTCGATCAATGTCAGCCTCGGTGTGGCAGACCGGGCTCGATTTTTTCCAGCTTGATGTTCCCAGTACTTAGTCAGAGCACGAGTGAAAACGAATTGCAGGATTTCGCTCAGTGTCGCTACTTAATCGTGCCTGTCATGTTCTGACAACTGTTGAAGACAAAATACGCTCCTTGTGGTGAACCCTGGTGCCCAGCTGCGGGTGGCGTGGGTCGCACAACCGCGACTGCCCATTAATTCCCGTGCATTAGTTATGACGCGGTGCATAGTACTGACTGGTGGTGCGATAGGCCGCTGCATTAACGTTAAGCACGGCCTCCTGCGAGTGGCGCTGAAATATTCATGAACGACGCGTAGCTTGTGCGCCTTCTCTTCGGTGTATGTTGGACGCGACGGACAGGCGGCCGTACTGACGGCGGCGGTGCCGGTGCGATGCCTGCCGCGGGCGCGGTGGATTGTTGGTGCCGGGCCGGGCCTGCGCGTGACGGCGGGAGTGAGCGTGACCACCTGTTGCTCGGCCGCCGGCAGCTCTGGGACCTGCGGGCCGGCAAGATGCTGACCGAGCTGACGCACCACACCGGCCCCGTGGTGGACGTCGAGTTCCACCCGCACGAGTTCCTGGTGGCGTCGGGCGGCTTCGACCGTATCGTCAACTTCTGGGACCTGGAGAACTTCCAGCTGGTGACCAGTACCGACGGCGAGTGCGGACCAATCAGGTGAGCCGGCGCGCCCGCCGCCAGCCAATCACCGCTCGGTGGTGTTAATGGCGCGTGCGGGCCGCCCGCGACGAGGTCCCACGGCGCCCACCAATTACGGATCAGGGCCGGCCGCCGGCATCAATCACGGGTGTTGGCCGGATGGCTCGGGTTAAGCAGGCCGCGTGGGGCTGATCAGGATTCTACGAGAGATGCCCGGCTGACGGCTATTGCAGTCTCCTCGGAATAGCAAGGGCCGGGCTAATCCTGTACGGCTCGGTCCGATCACGCCGGTCAGTGTAATCATGTGCAGAACATCCATCTGCTTGCGAAAATGTTCGACCGCGGCATTATAGCTGACTTACGCCCCGAGTTCGTTTGCGCCGTCCCGTTATACTACGGTGTGAGCATGCAAAGGCCACGGAGTGGGCGGATACGGCCGCCGCCATGGTTTTCCTCTGGCGTGAGTCACCTGAGCGCCCTCCGTCTACCTGATATCCTTCCTTTGGCTGCGACCCTGGAGAGCCGTTCCTCTCCAGTCACTGTCACGCCATTTCAAGACAGACGTGGCGCCTCCGGTCCGTGTCAGCAGTGTCGTGTCGTATCGTCTTACCTCGGCCGCGCAGGAGCCGCTGCACCGTCTGGCGCCTGTCCGCGCGGCCTCCGAGCTCGGTGTCCCTGCGACGTCCCACCTGGATTTATCACCGCCCCCATCGTTGCGCAGGTGTATCGCGTTCGGCGGCGACGGCGACTGCGTGTTCGCCGGCTGCCACGACCTGCTCAAGGTGTACGGCTGGGAGCCGTTCCGCTCCTTCGACACCGTCTCCATGGGCTGGGGCAAGATCCACGACATCGCCGTGGCGCAGACGCAGCTGGTGAGTGTGGGCCGGCCGGGGGAGTGGGCTCCCTGCGCCCGTTGGCGATCGGCGTTTGGCTGTCAGTCGACAACGGCTGATTCGCGACGTGGACCGCAAGCCAAACTGGTCGCCGGGTGTCATTCCTGATTGGCTGTCTGCATGGGGCTATCTCCCGTGAGGAGGCAGATCGATAATCGAAGTTTGTCCTGGCCGGCTTTGGACGTCGTACCCCTCGCGGCCAGACGCTGATAATGGCGGTCGCGTGAGCTGTGCCGCCACTCCGCACCTCCTGTCGCTGCTGGTCCGACGCCAGCCGGGTGGTGATGGCCGGCCGCGGGCGCGTGCCCGCCTCACGCCAGCCCTATCGCGGTGGCGATCGGACCGTTTCGGACACCTGCCGGTCGCTGCCGATGGCGAGATTGCGGCGGCGCCAGGGCGCGCTCCGCGAGCCCAGTGGGCGGGCGGCGGGCGGTGCGGGCGCCTGGTTAGCCGGCGGTTCGTCACCGCGGCCCCCAACGCAGAGGACGACAGGCGTGAGCGGTGTCTGTCAGTCGCGAGGGGCTGCCGTCGTCCCTTTCGCCGGCTGACCGACTGCGGCGCGGCCGGCGTGTCGGTGGACTTGGTGCCGCGCGCGGCAGACTCCGACGCCGTCCGGGGGCGCGTCATGGAGCGGAGACGGCTGCTGTCGCCGCTGCGGCCGCCGCTGCCGCCGCTGCCGCCGATCCGCCGGCGCTCGGCCGCTCAGGAGCGGCGGCCCAGTCTGCTGGAGGAGTCGCTCATACGCTCTGCCTGTCTGGCCATGGTGCGTGGCTCCGGGGGCCGGCTCCTCCGGCTCCCGTCCGGTCGGCCGATACCAGCCGCTGAGACCGTGGTCACCAGGACTGGACCTACCAGGGGTCCGGGCGGGGGCGTGGGTGCCCTGATCCGTTGGGTACTGGGCTGCGTGTCTGCTTGTGCTCGAGCCGGGTAACCCAGTCCTCTAATTTGTGATATGAGCCTTGTGCTGTAGAACGAGCTCTGTTTGGAAGCCCCTATTGCGCGTATAGTCGGGCAGGCGAGCTTGTCACAGACTGAGTTGCCCACTGTCCGTATCTGACCGGGCGCCGGCTGGTGGCAGCTGATTTGGGAAGGCGCTGTGACACCCGCTCGTCCCCAGATCGGCGCCGCCTTCCACTCTTCCAACGTGTCCATCTACATGGTGGACCTGAAGAAGGTGCAGCCGTTCGGTCGGCCGCAGATGCAGGAGACGGCGCCCGCCTTCCGTCACGGACAGCACGTCCGGAAGAGCTTTATCAAGGAGAAGCCGCCAGACGGCAACGGAAACGAGTGAGTGATGTGGATCATGTGGAGAATCAGTTGAGGTTACTTTGGGCTGTATTTGGGCCGATCATCGTGTGATTTGTGCTATCGTTTCGTGTGGTGGGCGAGGCGTTGTGTTGTTATGTGGCTGCAGTTATGCTCTTCCACAGTGGAAGCTATCAATGCGATTTTTCACGTGTCTCAGTCGGTTTTGTTTGGACGAGGACATTCCGTCGTAGGCGAACCTGGAGCATGGGGACAGAAGGCACTTTAAGCTCGCGGCGTCCCTCCAAATCCTCAGTGGGCCTCAGTTCCTCCCATGTCTTCAAATTCCGTCGCACGATGTTCAGCTTCTTCTTTCCGCCGTCCAGTATGGCGGTGCGTGTGGAGGATTCGTCCGACACGAACGTGAACACGGACCCGGAGGATGACACGCTCTCGGTGGTGGACGTCAAGGACGTCAACGACTACACTACCATCTTCCGGCCTCGTCAGCGCACCTGTGAGTGGTCCGAGCGGGACGACGGTCGGCGTCTCGGCCAGGACCGGGCGGTGCACCGTGAGGTGGGCGGGGCCCCCGCCTGCCTCCCCTCCTCCCCCGGCGCGGGACGGTCGGCGGGTCCCATGGGCACGCTTGGCTGGCGACCGTTGGGACTCTCGCACGGATTGCAGGAGTGGGACCTCATGAGGGGAGTATGCGGGAAGCTGTCTGCGATCTGTCTCTGCACTCGTCGGTTGGTGTCTTCGGTGTTCTGCCATTTTGTATGTACATGGAGCCTGCCGTAGAAATGAAGCAGATACTCGATTATGTTTACCGTTCAGCAGTACTTGCCGGAATGTGTGTGATGTAGCCTGTAGAATACGCAGACCTCCGATGTTTTTTTTTTTAAGCTCCATGTTACGTGCATTTTGTCACAATTTAGGGCAATATGCATGCTTTCTGGATGTTCCACGTTGCCAATGAGAAAATTGGGCCACATCGAACACAACATGTTACTATGGCACCACTATCGCTCCAATACGCCGCACCCATTCCCTGCGTCTGCCCACTGCCTCTGGTTGTCGCACTTTCCCTCTCCGCATTCTGTCTGCCGGCCGGCCTGGTATTGCATGCCGCACTCTGCATCGTCGCCCGTCTTGCAGTGAACCGCACGCCGCCGCCGGAGCCGGAGCAGCCGCCGCAGCCGTCGCCGCCGCCACCGTCGCTGGCGCCGGCCCCGGTCCTGGCCCCGGCTCCGGCCCCGGCCCCGCCCCCGGCCCCGGCCCCGGCCCCGCACCCGGCCCCGGCCCCGGCCCGGTCACGGTTACCCACGCCGGCCGCTCCAGTGCGCTCCTCAGGTAAACTATTGAACCCGCCGGCCGGCCGGCCTGGCGTCCGCCTTGCGCATCGACCGGTCGGCCGGCTGGCATGGGGACCTGCTGCCTGTGCTGCCGGCGGCGCGCGCCCCAAAGTGAGCCCGTGTGAATTTGGGTGACGGTGTTCGGTGCGGACTTGCGGTCTGGGCGGGCCATCTGTGCGCGCAGCTGCGGTCTGTCGCTGCCGCCGTTGCCGCTGCCGCCTGGCGGCCAGCTGTGCTGAGGACAGTCCTCTGTTGCCAGATCTGCCGCCGGTGTCGCGTCCGGCGGCCGCCGCGCCGACCGAGCCCCCGACGCGCTCGCCGCCGCCGCCGCTGCCACCTGCCGAGTCGACGCCGCGGCGGCTGCCGGCTGGGTACGCGCCCGCCTCGCCGGCGCGGGCGCCGCTCGCCGCCCGCCAGGCCGTGTACCACTCCACACCTGACATTCGTCCGGACAGCGTGCCCATCCCGACGGAGCCGTACAGGTGAGACGGCGTGCCGGCCGCCGCGGCGCCTCCGGCTGGCGCTGCACGGCTGCAGAGCCTTCGCTTGGACATTCCCAGATGAAAGGGCCGAAGAATGGATGTTCGGTTCGCTTCGCTTTCTTTCCGATCGAGTGCATTTACAAAGAGGAGCGACGGGACAGTCGCATGAGAGCCAGTCAGGGATTTGAACTGCACTGGACGCACCTCTGCTTATGTAGACTGTATGGCATGTGTATCGTTTTCCCAAGTAATGTCCAGGGTGGTCCGGTGATGTGGCGTGTTCCCCCCCCCCCCCCCCCCCCCCCACTAAGTTTCGCGCTTCCACACACGCGACGCCAGGCCGTGAACAAGGCCGTGCTGCACATTGCTTTTCCATGAAACCATGGTAACACAGTTTCTAGGCCGCGCCGGCGGCAGCGGTATTAGTGGCGGAGTTTTTGTTGCGTGGCCGCCGCCAGAAAGCCAGATTGGCGGGGCGTGTTTCCGGGTAGGGCCACCGATGGGCAGTTGGCGTAAACACGGCTATCGGAGGTCAATACCGTCGCTCGCTGTGCCGTGGTACGGACCGGAGCCGAACGACACCACACCGCAGCCGCTGGAGCTGGTCGTGTTGGCTGACGAGGGACCCACCGGTCCCTACCCAGTTTGAAACATGTGTAGACGTTCTGACGTATCGGTTCGCATCGGTCCCCGTGTGGTTCGGAGTAGAGGGAGCCGGACGCCGCGCGCCGCGCGGCTTGTTTCACAGTAGTGATGCGACGGCGGCCAGTGTCGTCCGCTTGGGCGCCTGTGGTGTCGCTGCGGGCAGCCAGGCCGGGTCGGCGATGTGGACGGCCGCGGCTGATCCGTGCAGGGGTAACGACACAGTAACAGCCCGTGTCGTCCGCTGTCTGTCGACCGAAGCTCAACCGGCGCCGTCCCGTGCGTGACGCGCCGCGGTCGGTGCCGCCATGCTGGATCACTTGGTCGACAGAAATCGATGCCGGTGACGGCTGTGGCGCACCGTTTCTGGGCGTCACGAGCGTGATACCGAACCCGGCCTCTGACGCACCTGTGCGGAGCGGAGGCGCTCGTTATTGGGGCTACGAGGGTTGGCCACTGGTGGGGGTCTGCTGAAGCAATGTGTGTACGTGTTAGTGAAGCGATGGCGCGCTGGGATGAATAGAAAATGGAAGAGGGCTCGTTGGCGGTTGCCTTGATTGCGGACAGGGAAGGGAGGAATCTCAGGCTGCGGAGAATGTCGAGCGTTCCATGGCCGTGAGCTGGAAAAGAGCCCCTCCCCCCTCCCCCTCCGTGAGGATCGAGGTGACGCCGCGGCGTGCGACTCGCGTAGCCCGTTGGTTCGACCGAAGCCCCTGCGCCTCTCGGTGCTCGTCATACACGCCCAGTAGTACGCATATTATTGACGGCACGCTGCAGCCTCCGCCAGCCACTGGCAATCCGTCTGTCGTATCGCACGGCTCGGACGGCGCAGCCGTGCGGGCGCTGAGCGTGGGCCGCCCCGACCGGCCTGGGAACGATGCTAGGACCCGCCGCGGCGGGCCGCTCCTGCCGCCCCGCTCTGGACCGTCCAAGCTATGCGGGACGGTCGGCCCCCGGTGTGGGCTGCTGCGGCGGCGACCTGCGTTGTCAGAGCCGTGTGAAGGTGACACCAGACTTCAGTGTCGGCGGCGACTCTCCCAGACCCGGCTGTAAATGATCCAAGCGTTGTATTGCGGGCGGGTGGGGTCTGGCTCCGCGCGTCTGTGTGGTTTTGATATGGCTATGCTGTGCGTCATGACGTGGCCGTCGCTGGCTGCGACCGTGACGCATTGTTTGCCCGGTGCCGGCTGTGACCGCGCGTCTGCTCGCCCCAGGCCGCAGCCGCCCGGCCTTCGACACAGCCCGTCCGACCCGGTGATCGTCCGCGGCCCGGAGGCGGCCGTCGGCCCGGCGCCCACCGGCACGCAGCCGCCGTACGGCTCGTACACGCGCCACGAGTACCCCGCCGCCGCCGCCTTCGGCCGCCGACTCGGACATGGAGGGCCGCAACATCGTGCCGATGACCGGCGACAAGCCGTCCGGCCTCGACATCGACGACTTCCTGCCGGTGAGCGCCGGCGGCCGCGCCGCTGCCGACGGCGGGCCGGCGCCGCGGGGTCGCGGGCCGGGGTCGGCGTCTTCAGAGCTGGGGAGGAGATGCGTGAGTCCCCGGCTGTGCGGGATGTGTGTTTTGTCTCTGCCGTGTCAGCCGCTGTTATAAAGACGCTGATGATGCCCAACGTTTTTAGCGGCAGCTGCATGCATGACGGTCGTGTTTGCCGCCTGGGTTTAGTCAGCTGTCTGCGTACAGGTGCGCACGTTACGTTTGTCGCGCTGGGTTTGACTGAGTGTCCGCGTCTGCCGCGCCCACAGAACAAGTTCGGTCGGCTGGGCTTCGGCGGCAGCCAATACTACTCGGCGCAGTCGGCCGTGTCCGAGGCCGAGGCGTTCAGCAGCATCGTCAAAGGCCACGATTCGATGATGTCTGTGCTGACAAACCGGCACCGCCAGCTGGAGATCACGCACTCGCTCTGGTGCAGCAAGGACGCCAAGACGGCCATGGAGCACGTGGTGGCGCGGCACGACCTGGCCGTCAGCGTCGACCTGCTCAGTCAACTCAACCTACGGCCGTGAGTATGGCCGCCCGCTCAGTTAGCTCAACCTACGGCCGTGAGTATGGCCGCCCGCTCAGTTAGCTCAACCTACGGCCATGGGTATGGCCGCCCGCTCAGTTAGCTCAACCTACGGCCGTGAGTATGGCCGCCCGCTCAGTTAGCTCAACCTACGGCCGTGAGTATGGCCGTCTGCTCAGTTAGCTCAACCTGCGGCCGTGAGTATGGCCGCCCGCTCAGTTAGCTCAACCTGCGGCCGTGGGTATGGCCGCCCGCTCAGTTCGCTCAACCTGCGGCCGTGGGTATGGCCGCCTGCTCAGTTAGCTCAACCTGCGGCCGTGGGTATGGCCGTCTGCTCAGGCATTAACCTGCGGCGGCGAGTATGGCGCCCGGTCAGCCAGCTTATTCTGAGCAGGCTTAAGGCAGCGTGTGCTCTACTCCAGTACGCGCGCGCGCGCACCATTGGGGCTTTACGACGGACTCAGCTGACGAGGCATGTGGCGTCGCCTGCCTCTCACCGTGGCAGGAAGGGCGGGCACCGTGGGTAGCCCTACTCCAGCCAGCTGAACGTGAGGCTGCACGAAGGGACGCGTGATCATCTAGCTTTGCATGGAGCCGCAAGACAGAACTTCACAGCCAGGTGGTAACCCACATCCAATAAACCGACGACAGGGACCCGCCCGCATGATTTGTGGCGTGTGTGCGTGTGCGCGTGCTCGTGTGTGAATGTTTGTCTTCTGGCTGGCGGCGTGTTTGTCACTCGTTTCTGGTTGTTTGCGTCGGCAGTAGCCGCTACCACAGTCGTCCTCGCCAGTTTTTGAGTCTGTAAGACGGTCGGCACGCTCCGCCGTATGTATCCGTGTTGTGGTAGGGGGTTTTGGGTTGTGCTGGCTGGCCACGCTCCGCCACATGTATCCGTGTTGTGGTAGGGGGTTTTGGGTTGTGCTGGCTGGTCACGCTCCGCCGTATGTATCCGTGTTGTGGTAGGGGGTTTTGGGTTGTGCTGGCTGGCCACGCTCCACCACACGTATCCGTGTTGTGGTAGGGGGTTTTGGGTTGTGCTGGCTGGTCACGCTCCGCCACATGTATCCGTGTTGTGGTAGGGGGTTTTGGGTTGTGCTGGCTGGCCACGCTCAGCCATATGTATCCGTGTTGTGGTAGGGGGTTTTGGGTTGTGCTGGGTGACCACGCTCAGCCATATATATCCGTGTTGTGGTAAGGGGTTTTGGGTTGTGCTGGCTGGCCACGCTCAGTCAGGCAGCTGTTCTGTGGACTGATTTTGGCCCGCAGGGCTGTTCCTGCTGCGTGTTCTACTGCTGTTCTGGCGTTTCTGATCACGGTTTCCTTGTTGGGCAGGTCGATCTGGAATCTCGACATATGTCAGGTGCTGTTGCCCTCGATACAGGAGCTACTACAGTCCAAATACGAGATGTATATGACTGTGGGCTGCAACTCGCTCAAACTCATCCTGAAAAACTTCGCCCACATGATCAAAACCAATATCCAGAGCCCCGTGTACACGCACGGTGTGGACATCTCCCGCGAAGAGAGGTGAGCTGCACCGACTCCATCAATCACACCGACTGGACAGTGGCTTGTCGCGCTGTTCGAGCGAGGCGGTCGGCGAAACTTTTGGGCGACCCCGTCACTAGCCAGTATTGCTGCCGGGCTTCTCTCAACTCGTTACTCCTCACGTGTGCACACAACGATACCTGCTCTCCTGCAATAACTTTTTGGAGAACTTCACCTCGATGACGGTCGTAGCATTGCTGCCAGATGTTGTTGCCGTGCTCCATGTTGCTGGGAGCATGCCGGCGTCAAAGCAAAGCGATGCTCGGTTTGATTCGGCAGTGTTCGTGTTCGTTTGCTTCGAATCGTTGCCACTAGTGCGTTGCCAGTGGTCTGGAGAGGTGGCGACATCAGCCCGTATGCCGTCGGTCTCGCGACGACCTCAGCACGGCCGCGGCTCCCCACTAACGCGGGCGTCGCCGCCTGTTTCAGGTACAACAAATGCAAGGGTTGCAACGATCAGCTGCTGTCGATACGCGCGTTCCTGCTGAAGCGGCAGACGCTGCAGGGCAAGATCGGCCAGACGTTTCGTGAGCTGCACATATTGATGCAGGCGCTGGACTGAGCGCGCTCGGCACGCTCGCCGCCACCTGTGATTGCAATAGCCGTGGCCGGGGCCGCGCCAAATTCCCGTGCCTTGGGGCCGCGCGCGGCCGCGGGCGCCGGCCGGCCCGGCACGGCGCGCTTAGTCTAGTCGACGGAGAGGGAGCGAGCGGGAGCGAGGGGGCAGCTGAGACGGGGCCGGCGGACAGAGATCGAGAGCGCGCTAGATCCGGAGCGCTGTACATACGGACCGGGTCAGACGATCTCAGTTCCTGTTGTGTGCGATCATGTGCAAGTAATCGGAGCTGCCTTCCCCGCTGCCGCGGATGCATAATGTCATTTTTACGTGCCAATTATTTCTGTTGGTCGGTAGGTGTGAGTGTGTGTGGGATTCGGTTCTCGTGATATTGTTTCGTTTGTCTCGCGCGGCGCGTCCGCATGACGGGCGGGCCGTCAGACCGCTGTGGCCTTCCGGTAGCCAGTCTGAGCCGTGGCCCGGCTCGGGGAGCGGGCCGGCGCAGTGGTCCGAGACCGAGACCTCCCGGCGCGCTTGTTTTGCGCCGCCGACGGCTAACCCACGCCTCGCGGGCGTCTGTAACACCCGGACGCGAGCTACTAATCTCGTTACGAGCGGCGTTCGCTGGCAGTGCGCTGGCTGGCGCTGCGGCGCGCCGTCGGCGCCACGGGCGCTAGGACCACGGGCCGAGGGCCGCCGGCCGACAGTAACATTCCCCCGCCTAGGCTGAGATCAAACGTAACGTCTTGTTAATACAACGCTTTTTAATGAGGTCCTGTGTCTATGGACGTGGCGAGAAACGGACCGCAGCCGTCAGCAAGCGATGGTGATGTTCACCGCGGAATGGAGATCTCAGAAACTGCGCCTCAGTGACACGTTAAAACACCAATAAAAAGACTGGGGGGGGGGGGGGGCAATGCTGCGGGGCGTCAGCAATCACTGTCCGTGACGTGCCGGCACTAGGGTCGTGTTCGAGCCGCGCCTCTCCTGTTCGAGCCCCTCCACCGGCTACAGCGGGATGGCCAGAACGTCTGTCGCCGGTGCGCTACCCTGCCCAGGGGCCGCCTGCTCAGACACCGACACTCGAACGACGCTGTTGACGGGTGGCGCCGGCCGCCGCGGGGCCTCCGGCTGGCCCAGCTCCGCCGGCTCGGCCAGAGCGTGCACCAGCAGCTCCTGCTGGTCGCCGATGCTGGTGTCAGCGGCCAGCTGCGCCTGCTGGGCGCGCCGGCGTTCCGCGGCCACGCTCCGCTCGTTCTGGGCGGTTGTAGCGGCGGCGGGCGGGCCGCCTGCTCGGCCACCAGCCGCTCCTGGCTGCTGACCAGGCGGGCGACCTCACGGTAGGCGGCGGAGTCGCGCCGGACGCCGCCGCCGCCGCCTGCTGCAGCCGCTCCGCCTCGGCCGCCTCGGTCCGCAGCTGCGCCTCCAGCCGGGTAGCCTCGTCCCGGAGCAGCGCTCGCTTCGCGGGCGCGGCGCGGCTGGGCGGCACGGCTCGGCTCCTCGGCCTCACGCGAGCGCTGCACGGCGGCCGGCAGCAGCGCCCGCTCGGCCTGGCCGGCCGCCGCCTCGGCCTCGGCCGCCTGCTGCTGCCAGAGGCCGGCCGCCGCCTGGCTGTCGGCCAGCGCGCGCTGCACGCTTTCGGCGTCCTTCTCTAGCGCGGCCAGCTGCGCCGTCTGCTGAGCGGCTGCCTGATCGGCCGCCGCCGACGCGTTCAGCGCCGCTGCCGCGCGCTGCTCGGCATCGCGGACGCTCGCGCTCGTGGCTGGGTCACTGAGCACCTGCGCCTGGCGCTGATGGAGCCAGGCGGCGTAGGCGGTCGCCCGTTGCACCAGGTTTCGCGAGGCGGCGCCCACCTTCGCGGCCAGATCCTCGAACGCAGTGAGCTCGCTCTCCAGCAGCTGGCGGTCGTCCTCGAGCGCCTCCAGCGCCGTCTCGTTGACGTCGACCTGGCGGTCCAGCTCCGCTGCGATCCCCGCGACATTCCGCTTCCACCGATCCACTCGGAGCACACCGTCCACCCAGCCGTCTTCTCCGTCGCCGTCATCCCGCCAGCTCTCGCTCGGGGGCGCCGAGCCACCACCACCACCACTACTATCACCACCGCCGCCGCCGCCGCCGCCACCGGCGGCCGGCGCGCGGCCCGTGACACCTGGCGGCCGGTCTAGGATGGGTCGGCCCCGCCGCAGCACCGGTTCGGCGCGGCGGCGCGGCAGGCGCGCCCACCAGTCGGCCAGGTGGCTGTAGAGGCCACGCCGCCGCGGCCAGCGCCGTCGGCGTCACATCAACGTAGGGTCGCGCCGGGCCAGACCAGCAGCCGCCGTGGCACGGCTGCTGCTGCCGCTGCTGGCCGTGTGGCGGGCACGCGCCGGGGGCGAGCAGCAGACAGAGCCGGCTGCGGCTTGCGCTGGCCGGGGCCGCAGCGGCTGCTGCAGGGCGACCAGAGGCCCCACGGACTCCAGCCGGCGGCCGGCTGCGACTCGGCGCACTGTCCGACCCCTGAAACCTGGGGCAGGCGCAGTCAGGAGAGGGGACAACTGCAGTGCACGTGTCGGGCATTGGTGACAACACATGTGGGCATGGCGGATGGTGAAACCTGCCACAGTGGCACAGCAGTAACCAGCCAAACCTGCAGCAGAGGTCCAGCAGGACGCTGTGATATTTGTGGCCATGGTGCGGAACGAGAAAATGCGCTTAGCCAAGGATCCTAGCCGCAAATCTTTCACATTTCCTCGTTACCGGCCTGCCTTTCCTATCATCACAACAGTTGGTAAGATTGCGTAACATGTCGATTGCCTTTCAAGCCGCGGCAGGGCTTCTTCAGCCCTGAGCTAGCTGTAACAGCCATCAATCCGTGTGGACACTTGGTTCCATTCCGCGGACCTGAATGCCCGAACGAAACAACTGAATGCCTCTGGCTGTCGCACAGTCACCGGACGGGAGTCCCGACTCCGTAGGGAGTCCTACGGACTGACGGCCGCAATCCCGTCCGGCTCCTCGAGGACACCAGAGTCAGAAACAAGGACTCCACGTTGAAAAACATTGACGCGTTTTGGTGTTTTCGTGCATGTGGTTTTGCTCCCAGCACGTGTAACCACTAAGCATGTGCCCCTACGGATACGCAACGGTTGAGTTGCGACTTAAGCATGTGTTCCAAAAATGTCGCGGTACTTCCAACACATCAGCATTCCAGATGCACAAGGTTCGCATCGAAAGCTGTGTCCCGGTTTTTGGGAATATACATGTGATCGTCATTGTACATTTCTTTTCTGGCATTAAAATGTCCAGAGCACCTAGCATGAAATATGCGGCAACTGCGTATATTATACGGCGTAGCTGCGTACAGCGCGCAAGCACAGTGCATCTTGACGCTCTATATTCCCAACGCGTAAGTCGACTTCCTACACAAATTCGTCGCAGGACACTCGCGCAGGACAATTTCAAAGCTGCGGGAAAACTTCACTGTGGTCTTGTCGTTCGGGTAACATATCTAAATCGTCCCTTTCCCAGGCTTTGCTGGTCACAGAGGCAATTTCGCAGGCTCGGCGAGCACACTAGTCTTGCTTTCGGTGAGCACGCGCGTCTCTGTCCGCGTCGGCTGCTGCTGTCGCTTGCTGGCCTCCTGCGCCTGGTACGCCGCCTGCGCACTGGCGCGGCTCGCCTCCTGCGCGCGCAGCTCCTCGGTGGCAGCCTCCTTCAGCATGCTACGGAGCGCGGCCTCTCCCCGACGGCGCAGCTCGGACATCTTGGCCTGCTCGGCCGCCGCTAACTGACGCAGCCGCTGCCGCTGCTCCTCCCGTTCCGCCTCGGCGGCACGCGCCCGCGTCTCGGCGGCGGCCGCGCGCTGGCACGCCGCGTCCAGCCGGAGGCGCAGGCTAGCCGCCTGGCGTCGGTCCGCCGCCAGCCGGTGCAGCAGACGGCGCCGCTCGGCGCGATCCTGCGCCGCGCTCTTGGCCTCGGCCAGCTCTAGCCGGCGGCGCCGCTCGAGCTCGGCCGCCAGCCGAGCCTCGGCCGTTGTCCGCCGTCGGCCCTGCCGCTCGGCGCTCAGCTTCGCTGCGGCGACGAGCGCGCTGGCGGCGGCGGCGCGCTGACGCAGCTCCCCGCAGCCGCCGCTCGGCCGCCTGGCGCAGCGCCGCCTGGCGGGCGGCCGCCTGCTCGGCGCGGCGGCGGCGCTGCGTGGCTGTCTCGGCGGCGGCCAGCGCGGCGGACCGCTCGGACGCGCGCGCCGCCTCCGCCTCACGTAAACGGGAGAGAGCTGTGCGCGCCTGCTCCACGGCGGCCGAGACGCGGCGCCGCAGCAGGGCAGCGGAGGGGAGGTCCACGTCGCCGGTGGACGGCACAGTTCTGTTAGGGGCGGACGCCGTCTCTTCGCCTGATGAGACCATTGTGAGACTCTGTGCCACTGAGGTCCAGTTCTGGCCAAGCGCTGCCTTTTCAGAGAATATCTCTACGTGGCCTGGCACCTGGGTCTGTTCCTGATCAGCCGTCGCGTCCACTGCGGATGCTTCTAGGCCACCTGCCGTGTGTGACCGGACATTGCCGATAGTAATGTCATCAATGAGTGTTTCTAACCTGCCTGGTACCGCTGAGGACTGCTCCTGACTCACACTCCAAACGGATGCTTGAAGGCCTCCTGTTGTCTGAGACTGGTCCTGACCTGCCGTTGACACCTCAGCAAGCGTGTCCGGGACCTCATACTCATCTGGCCCCTGAAGCTGAGGCGGCCCCTGGTTTGTCACTTCTTCCTCATCAGGTGTTTCTGGGGTTGGGCGGTTTCCAAACGTGGCAAGCTCTGTGATATTCACGGAGACGTTATCGTTGGAGCGTTTCTTGGCATGTGAGTGATCCCGTTTCTCGACGTTGCCCGTGTGTTGCACGGATCTACGGCATCTCCCTTGCTCCTTTAATGACTGTATCAAATGTTCACCTTACTCTCGTCTTCCCGCACATCCCTGGTTTCTTTAAAGTCGCTTTTCATCAGTGGTATTTCGAAGTCTTCGTAGCTTTCAATTTGCGCTAGAGAACGCTTCTTTCTAACGGGTTCAAACCCGAGAAAATGCAGGATCTTCCAGTGGTGAGCCAGTGAGTCTGTCCTCCGTGCCTCGCGCCTCCACCCGTCCTCTGCTATCTCCGGGATCAGCGTCTCCGTCGTCCCCTCTCGGCCGTGCGGACCCTGGCCGTCGTCTCCCTGCGTCTCCTTCTCCTCCTGCTCGGCGCCCTCCGTCTGGTCGGGGTCACAGCCGGCGCGCGCCCGGCACGGCCGGGTCTGCTCTGCCTCGCCCTGACAGCCGGGCTGGCGGCGCCCACACGTTCTCGAGCGCACGCGTACGCCCTGGCCGCAGTCGCTGAGGCAGCGCGACCAGGCTGACCAGGCGCGCCAGCCGTCGGCGGCCAGCGACGGCAGCGCCCTCACCTGACAACGGCCGCCTGAGAAACCTGTCGACACACAGGGCGGCCGTCAGTGCCGCTGGCCGCCGGCGGGAGGGAGGGCAGCGCCCGGTACCGCCAGAGGGCGGGCCAGGCGCGGCGACCCTGACGCCCGCCACTGTGTGTCGGCAGCGGTTCCCCCCCGCCCGCCATGCCGAGCACCGCAATGCTGGCGTTTCAACAATGTACGCGCATTTTGCTACGCATTTAAGTCACGCATAAAGGGAGAGTGAAACAAAAGCAACAAAAGACATGCGTTTTAAAGTTGCCGCTGCATTTTGAGAGAGAAAAACATTTGAGTTACGCCGATTACACCAGCCCCCTTTCATCAACTTCATAATCATCCCCTGGTTTTGACCAATCTGTTATCACCGTATTGATTAGAACGCGCACTTAAACGCATCCAGTGGGATTCGCGCTAAAAATGATATGCGATAATAGCAAAACGCTGTCTAACGTTTGCTGTTGTCGTCGACTTTACATCACATTCAGTCACAGAGTACGTCAGTTTATGCTGTCAAGCTAAACAAGCTAATCCCGTTTAAGCCGATAGCCACGCCGAATAGTGCCAGTCACCAAAATGCATCCTAGCGGAGCATGTCACTGTACGGTAACAGGGTCGCGTCCCCTGAATCACCACCATGGAAGGCGACTCTGAACGTATGAAGCACTGCGCGGCAACCCCGTGTTACAGCGGTATAATGCGGCACAGCATCGTCTTGGAGCGTCATGTGGAACAGTATCACAGAAAAGCGTTATACGGCACAGCATCGCCCAATAGTGCAGTGTAGCACAGTGTCATATGCAACTATACTTCAACTCAGGGTGATCTTGAAACGAACGCAGCATCCTCCGAGCCTCTAAACACGATGAACAAACACGACGCACCGCGACGTGGCGCGAAACCAGCTTTTTACTTCATTTTCCGGGAATTACAAGTCGTCATCGTTGAAACTTCAGTCTTAATCATGCAGGCTGGAAGCTTGTGTTGTTTTTCATCACATCACCTGACAGTCTCCATTACTTTTCGTTCGCGCTAGGCTGCTTGTGGCGTTCTACGATTTTAGTACGTCTTCCGCATGGCTTTTGAACACCTCCGCTAAGGGTCGGTATTTTCATCTTCGTATATATATATATATATATATATATATATATATATATATATAAAGATAGATGGATAGATAGATAGATAGATGCTTTGCGTTGGACTCGAGCAAACTGGTACTACCTCTCAGCAAGTCCTACACGCGGCTGAGACGAGCCCGGTGACCCACCAAACCACTAGGACTCTACACACGTGCATGAGCGCGCGCATGCATCTGATGACCACACCAGCACTCCGACGCGATCAGGAACCCGTAAAGGCTGTTTCACAAGTGCAACGCCACCTCGTGCGGACCCTGTGTCTGCTCACCAGCTTCTCATGCCTGCCCTGTTCTGCACAGCGTCTGCACAGCTGAGCACTCTGACCTGGCCTGCAGGTGCACCTGAAGGAGCCGGCCTCTCATGCCTGCCCTGTTCTGCACGGCGCCTGCACAGCTAGGCACTCTGACCTGGCCTGCAGGTGCACCTGAAGGAGCCGGCCTCGTTGTGGCAGCGGCCGCCGTTGAAGCATGCTGGCACCAACAGCGCACACTCGTCGATGTCGACACAGCTGGGCTGACTCTCGCGCAGCCGGCTCCAACCAGAGCGCGCGCCGCAGCCGCAGTCGTAGCCCGCGTGCGTGTTGGAGGAGTTGCGGACGCAGCCCCAGCCGGGGCCGCAGGTGGCGCTGCCTGCAGCACCGAAACCACCCCTGACGCCGGAGACCGGACGGCGGGACCGGGGTGTAGAGGCGGGGCCGCAGGCGGCACTGCCTGCAGCACCTGCAGCCCCCCCCCCCCCCCCCCCTTGACGCCGGAGACCGGGCGGCGGGACCGGGGCCTGAGGCGGAGGGGACACAGTTTGGCGGATGGTACCGAGGCGCAGGATTGTGACGCAAACTAAGGGACGCAGCAATGCCAAACACAACAGAACTGAGGTGGAAGATGTCGGTGCTTGCTACAAAAAAGTAACATTGTGGCCAATGCCAGGCGTCATATTGAGATGCATTCACACATTTGTTACAGAGATGATGAAAATGGGAATAAAGCGTGAAATGAAAATACCTAGTCTTCCCAGTTTGCTTAGTTTAAGTCCACCGAATGTTTACCTGATTTAATCTATTAAGTCCACTAGCAGTATCTAGTTTTGCGTATCATGTTGATTACGGAGTGTTAACAACAACAACATTACACCCATGACTCAGGCTCCCGGAGTCATTGGCCGGTGCCGACAGCCAGCAAAGGGCTGAACCTACCATCAGAGCATGGGTCGCGCTCCATTTGGCACGTGGCCCCCGTCCACGCCGGGGGGCACCGGCACGTGACGACTGGCGGGCCGGCGCGGCTGGCCGACACGTGCACGCGGCAAGCCCCGCCGTTCTCACACGGGTTCTCGACGGCACGAGCCTCGCAGGAGAACAGCTCTCGCGGCCGCGGAGAACCTGACAGCAGGCACCGTCCGACATTCATATGCTCAGCTCTGAAACACTGTTATTTATTAGGTTTTAAGGACACATCAGCTGCAGTGGTTACCCGCACTTGGGGTAAATAACCATTGCAACGCATTGGTGCGTGGGTGCACACTTAACGCAAAGAACGTTTAAAAACTGCGTGTAGTTATTCATCTGCTGCAAGTTGCACTGCATTGCTCATGATGTTCAATACTGCTGAAGGATCGTAACAAAAGAATATGCGTCGGAAAATGGGGGTCGTTTTTCTACAGTCCACAGGCACTTAAGGCACCGCATGGGCATAAGACACTGAGTTGCAAAGACAGAAGATATATATATATATATATATATATATATATATATATCCCAACCCTAATCTGTTCCGGACTGTCTCCGAACATTTCCCCAACAGGGGTGTCGGGAGCGCTTCCCTAGCTGCTCACGGTGATTACACACTGAAAAATGTCCATCCCGATTGGTATTTCTCAACGTTTTCCCAAACGGCCTGTCGGGAATCCCGAGTGCTCTCCGTTCTACCTATGGCGATTACGCACATAAATACGACTTCCTCAAGCAAATCTCAAATCTGATTATCGAGAGGCCCGCGAAAATCCCATGTTTCCCCATGTTTCCCCAAGTGATGGTCGGTGGTGCCGGAGACATCTTGAGAGCCCTAAACATTCCCCACGACGGTTGGGGAAACTTGGGCTTTTCCACGTTTTTCCAACATTGCCAATGTTTTCTCCATGCAAACTGCTGGTTGGGCTCCGTCCCCCCTCCCTCCCCCATTGCAAAAACTTGCATGCATCCTTGCCCGTAGAGCCCAGGCTAAAACAAAAACTAGTCGCAGCATGACAACGTAAGGAGAAGCCTTTTAACAAAACAAATATACCGAGTGCTCCCTCATGCGTGTTCAACTAACACAAAAGCTTCATTAAACACAATATCCTTAAGTCTGGTTATTATACCCGTTCTTCAAGAATGCATTATATACAGGCATGCATTTAACATCAAAGAATGATCATTGCAACGCGTCGAAGCCTCTAAAATATCACAGTTAAATCGTATTATCACGCTGATTAAGAACATCGCTTGGGCAAGAAAGTTGAAACGGGCGCATTAAATATCACTCATTTCTCAACTTTTTTGGCGAGTTAGGTTATGCCAGTGAATTCCGCAACACTCGTTGAACACTGATTTAACCTTACATAAATTCTCAAATCGGTTGTGTTGTTGGGACGGTGACAGTAAGCAAAGTGTCAGCTGTCGCAAAATCGCTGTCTAATAAATAGGGTTCAGAATGATCTTCATAGAGGTTTTTGCGCAGAACACGGTAATAGGCATCTTACCGCCGATGAGGCTGAGGTGGTTGACAGTTATCATGACCAGCAACACACCGTTGAACATCTTACAGGGAGCCGTCCCATGCCACTGAGTATCTTTTTCCAGATGAACAGCTCCTTGTTCCAGAGGCTGTGGGCACCAAGGCAGATGGGAAAGGACCAAACATGCAAACGATCGGTTAAAGTTACACGTTAGGGAATGTTCCGTTTTGGCGCGTACGTTCAGCTCAGTATGCAGTAAAGAGTAGCAGTCCGACGCGAACGAAATGAGCACGAAGATTTTATAATTCTCTCAATGTTTCTTTTATATTGCATGGTCACTTAGCTTCTGGTAGTTTTGTTTGGGTGTGTCCGAGGCTTGTGTCAGTCGGATATGACTATAATATTAATATAGTGTCGGCTACAATATGAAATGCAAAATTGCGCTGCAAACTATGTTTCTGCCGGTTTGTCATCACATGAGAAAATAGAGGCAGCAAATTTTCTGAGATCAAATGCATTTGGAGAGTGGTGCCAGCTAGACAGAATTAAATATAGAATCTGGAATTGATTCGCCGGATGTTGTACCACCAATATCACTAGACGGGGATTCGTGCCTCCACAGAACCCGCTTATTCCGGCAGACGTGATCTCGAGCTCAGCAACTGAATAATCACTGCATAAAGTGTCACCAGCTCACAGTTGTGCTATTCAACTGAAACCCGCACATGAGAGACTCATATCCTTGATCTTGGCATAACCTTGATGCCTTTAAACGACAACACGCGATCGCAACACACATCACATGCCAATGCCCGTTGGTGCTATTCTTCACAAACAGCATGTCATGCGTCATTGTGACAGCAAACGACAAAACTCACTTGCGACAAAACCGTCCAACTAAAGACATTTTCCAACTTACCCCGCAACTTACCTTATGGCGTCCCGTTTGGTAAGTCGGTGGTCAGACAATCTACATGACGAATGAAACAACTGGCTTATCGTTCAATTTCTGTTGCTGACAAGGTTAAGTGCGTTTGTATTGCTGAGTCTCCACGAATTTCCACTTGCTCCAAGATCTAAAAACCATATCGCCCTAATGATGTTGCTGATGGCGCGCAATGCTAGACGGCCTACAGGAGGAAGCCTTGGATAGCAAGGTCCGCTACCTGTACAACGCTTTGGCTACCTTGGCCCACCAAAGTCAAAGTTGCAACACAGCATACAAACGTCGGCAACTGCTGACATGCCTCACATTCGCTCTGACATCCACGCTGAAATGTCTGCAGTTGTCCGTTTGCTTATTTCTAATCCTATTTCACGTGCCGAAGTGTTATGCTAACTCCTGTGTGGGACTGGCTTGGCAAGGAAGCAAATACTTTTGCATTATGAGGCGATCGAACACCCGCTTATTGTGAGGTTCATCAAAAGGTTTATCGTGCACATACATTAGAGACACAACCATTTAAGGATGCGTGGATAGAAGCATAAAAGTCCTCATGGGCGTGGAAATATGGGGACCGGGGGCCCATGGGCTCCGCCTTTTTAAGGTGGGGACCAGCAGTGTTAACTATCCCCCTGGGCCCCATATTTCCCACTTCTCAGATCTAATCTGCGTTCAGCTTGCTTTGTGCTATCTTAAAACGTGCATGCCGATTTGTTTAGCTTACCAGCCATGTTCCACGAATGACACTGGATAAAAGTGTGTCATGCGGTAAATAGCAGTATTTTACCCTACAATGTACGGTGATTTTCATGTTTCATATCCAGTTTAAAGGCCGACTCCAGGCTATTCTAGATCCAAATGCTCTGTCCAGTTTTTTATAGAGCTTTAGTTCTTTTGCTTGACTGCTTAGTCTTCTCAGCATGGGTTCATGGGGTCTGAGATGGATCTAGCATAGGAATTTGGCATAGTCCAGTATGCCAGGTAAAAAGTAGGTTTTTTGTTATGCCGGGTTACATGCAACATCGCAAAATTATCGCTACTACGCTATCTGATTGAAAAACCTAGACATCACTTTAACTTCCATGATTTCGTGGACGTTTTGCCATAGGCAACGATGTCATCTTATCTGCCCAACCGATATAGTATTTCCAGGCATTTTATGAAACGTTGGAAGAGCACCGGGCGTTTCGGGAAAGGCCTGACTAAACGGAGCATAAATTTTGTTGTATGGCCGTGCGATCTTTGCTGTTTAAACGGATCGTCTGTTTTGTTGATTGCTCTTTTGCCTTACAGACTATGACGAAATACATGAACTGGTCAAGCGTTAGTCATGTGATAATCAATCATTTCAAATGCGCATCTTATTTAGAGTGAGTCGTCAGAACACCAGCACGTTCAAGTTTGTACCGGGAACCACTGCACCTAGCAACGACGACCGAGAGTCACGAGTCTGCGGGAGGCATTACTGAACGGTTCTGGTTTAGGGACAGGTGTTTTAGGACAGGTGACAGGGACAGGTGTTAACCAGTTGCGTTCGTCCGGTAGTGCAGCGCCATGTACCTGAAGTGCCATACAGCGCGCGTGATATCTTTATCTAGATGCCACCATTTGGCGCCTCGTGTCGTCGAGTAGATTGTGACGAACGACGAGGCTTGTCAGTCCCACACAAGCAACATTTTGAAGACGGTTGTCTCATTCCGTTATTGA